GGGAAAGAGGGGTGTCATAAAACAGGTCTACGGCAAAATGCAATGTTCATATATCCCTGGGACTTTCACACTTGCTAGGGTTTTATTACCTGTGTGTGTTTAGCTGTAGTGCTCATTAACCATAATTTCTTTGTATTCCAGTGCAAATGTGTAGCTACAGTTACAGGCATGTGAGCTACCTGTGCTCTCTCTATGTCTTTGATAAGATGCAAATATGTTGTCTGATACCTGGAGGCAAATCAACTCAGCTCTCATAGAGAGCTGATCAGAACCAAGAAACCTGGGGGACATTAGGTTGGGATTATTTGTGACCATCTGATCACCCCCCTCAGCATGTGACACTCTCTGGGTTTCTCATGCATATAAAGTTTCCCTTGGCTGTGGTCTCAGGCACCTCAAGCATGTTACATATGGATGCCTTGACAAATGACTCATCTGGTCCCTGGTACATTCTGCTCAGCTGGGGGCTGATCAAATGCTCCAAATACTTAAATACTTCAGTACATTGTAGCATGAGGTCATGATGAGCCAAGGCCAGATTAACTTTTTGTGAATCTAAATTTACTAGCAGAACTAAGAGACTGGGATCAGAGGATAAGAACAGAAAAGTTTACTGCAAGACTTGATCATTCCTCTAATTCATCCCAATTTCCAAAGCTTAGAAGACAAGAACTGAATTATTCTTAATATCCCTACACAGAAAACAAAACAAAACCAAACCCTATTATCTTCATAGAACTTTATTATATCTGTGCTAAGTTATCTGAATCTAAAGGTGTTTCCTGTGCTTTTTAGAACTAATGTAGCTTCCAAAAACTGCAATTCCACTAAGATCTGACCAAAATTAAACCGGGGCAGTTCTGCCACTTAGACTTGTAGCTTGTTTACTATCTTTGTTCTCTATGACATTGTGTCATGCTTACGGAAGTGAAAATTCCTCTACAGCAGACAAGTTTCTATTGTCTTGCTTCATGGGCTTTCCCTGGGAAGCCTCTTCTCTCCGTAGTGAAGACTGACACTTCTCAATGACCATCTGATATACCATTTGTGGCAGAAACAGATTATTCCCTTTTGCTTGCAAGGCACTCTATTTCTCCTGCTCAGCGCCAACTTTTGCCCTTCTCATTCCTTGAGAGCTCATTACTCCTCTACTTAAGCAGTGACAAACACCGTGGCCGTCCTTCCTTCAGGTGACTGTTACAGTCATAATTTCAATCTCTTTTTATTTTCAGGGATTTCAGTAAGTTCAGAATGCAACGCTGAGAAACATGATGATAATGGAGATAAGGTAAAAATTCCTCTAAGTTTCAAGAATATTTAGATAGAAGCCAGGAGAACTGCAGGACATGCTAGTGGTTTTCAGTGTTTTTATACTAAAGGGACAGTGTTTGCAAACAATAGCTTGAACTTTGGTTTAGAAGCTCAGGAACCACATCTATTCATCTTTCAGTGGACAGAGCCAAAGCCCATGACCATCTCATCTGGCTCAGACATGTCAGAAAAACCACATCCCACTCGGCACCCCTGTCGGAGAGGCAGGGATAGCATCCTTGAGGTGTGACCAGGCAAAAGGCAACTCAGGAGTGCTGTTGCACTTCTCTGTCTCTAAGAGAAGGAAGAGGATGACCAAGTTCCAACTTTAGGCGTTATTAAGAAGTTCATGTTAAGTGGGATGAATCTAGGCTCAAATGCTCCAGAAGAAGATCTATTAAACACTTAACAGGCAATTCGTGTTGTTCACGAATTCATGGTCAGCCTGATGTGTCTCCTCCATGCCTTTTACAGACAAGCTCAGAAAAGCATTGCATACTCCAGCCCAATGCAGGTATTTCAGAGCTCTTAACCACTAGGGCAACCCACTCCTGCATGAATAGGTCTGAAGTAAAGATGCTTCTAAAGCCTTTTCAGTTTTTCTTTCCTCCCTTGCAGTTGCCCGTCCATGCCTCTCTCATTGCCTCTATCCTAGTGGTGTCCATTGCTATCATATTGATGCTTTCATTGTTGTGTTGGAAACGTAAGTATTCCTAAGCACATAATTGATTAATGCTGTCCTAGTGCAGATGTGCTTCTGTATCTCTGGTTAATCTTCTGGTAAATCTGCCACACCCCTGTGACAGCACTGTGTTCATTTTATGGGGGTTGCCATCCTGTCCTTACTCCAGAACTGCGTCACCACGAGGAGGCCAGGGAGCATGAATTGGTGGGGATGCAGCAGGAGGAAGTCGGTGCAAAGAACCTATTCACTCACTTGTTGCAGGTCTGGCTCATCTTGTTGGATCTTGCTTTATAGTAGTGGTCCAGTAGTTTCGTAGAATTGCTCCTGAGAGGCATTGATATAACTCAAACTAGAATGAGATCCTTTCTTTCCTGCTTAGCCCATAGAAATCTTGCAACTTGCTCTCTTTTCTTCTGAACTCATTCGATCTATTCATTAAAATTATAGATTTCTTTTTGCCATTGTGACATTAATATTATTTTATTTCTAGGTAAACACACAAAGAAGGTTATAATGAGAAGGTAATTCAGTTTGTAATTTCCTATTAAAAATTCCAAAGTAATTTTTCTGAGAGGCAGGAAGGTATTAACCACTGATTGTCGTGGGTGTAGTATTGGCTTGTGGTGTTGACCACTCGCCACCAAAGTTGAATTATAAGCAAGCTTCAGATAACTTCACTCCAGAAAATCAAAGAGTCGTTCCTGGATACTGCTTCTAAGTAGCAACAAACAGCCTTCCAGAGCACAGCAGAAGTTCAGCAACTGCAACTTACTGTTTATGTAGTGACCTCAGCTTAAGGAAGTACCTAATGTGCTTTATTCTTTGATCAAATACCAGGGCATGACCTCACTTAGGTTATTTTAAAGAAATTAAGAGATAAATGGTTATGGTGATCAAACTGCAAAATGATTGCTCAGAAAAGGATCAAGGGTTTATGGAGGTCCTTCATGGAGTGGCAATTCAGGTCAATACTCAAAGAATAGGCCCTGTAAAGAGTATACCACAGCAGTGTGGCAAACCAAGCTTTCCACCTCTAGATAAATCTTGCAGCTCTCACAGAGCCTCTGGAGCCTCTCACACACTCCCTGAGTCACACTGAAGTATCTGAGGTGATTACTGAGGTGCTTGTTTTGAGGCAGATATGACATATGGAAGTATGATGAGTCACCCTGTGCAGGTGTAACTGATAAATTCATTTCTTCTGGCTTATCTTAAACAAAGGATTTTCTTTAGACAAGCCACAGGGTAGTCCAGTGAAGTATTGTCCCTTTGCCAAAGACCAATAACTTTCAATGGCAGATGGTCACCCACTGCATACCCCAACTAGGAGATAAGGTCTGGGGGTCAAGGAGGAAGGTTTTTTCTGAATCTCATGGTGGTTACCCTACAGCTGTCAGTATAAGATCTGAAGAACCTTTTCCTAACCATTAGAAGAATACAAGCAAGGTAAATAATTCTCTGGTGTAAAAATCAGGCATTGCACCACTGAAGTCAGTGGACTCAGTAGCTTCTAGCCTCTGTTTCAATGGGAATTGGCCAATGTTAGAAATAAGAAAGGATGCTCTGCAGCATCAATGTGCTTTTGCCCCATCCATAGTGATCTGTGCTTCTTACTACAGTGTTGGACCAGTGGAAGACCTTGAAACAGTTTTCAGTGGCACTGAAGGAGAAAACAGTATTCATTCCCTGTGAAGAGCTCCTACAACACCTGTAGATACCATGGCAAATGAAAAGGACCTGCTTCATGCTGCATTGAGAGATGCTTGCAAGCCCTCAAAATACCAAAGGGTGTAAACCAAAGGCCAAAGCTTCAACTATGAAAATTTAAAATCGTTGTGCAAATTTTGCCATGTCACCATTAAAACACATTGCTTAAAGAATTTTTTTTCTGTGAAGGTGCTTTATGCACTATTCATAGGTGTTTCTGGGTTCTGCCTTCTTACTAATACTGTGTTACAGAATTGAATTTATTTTTCTCTGTTTTTTACTAATGCTCTTCCTTGAATACCACTTACACTGTGAGGAACGAAAGAAGAATTAACATAAAATGCTGCTAACCTCAAACTGCCAAAAAGAACAAAGAAAAAAAAAAATGGTGAATAAAGTTCTTATTGCTTTTATATAATCAAGACAAAAATTAAGCCACAAGAATGCTGGAAGTATAAATCAAAAATGCATATTACTTCAGGGGTACCAATGCTGCCTGTGATTCAGCATGTTTGAGTGACCCTTGGAGACTATGTTAATAAACTTTGTAATTTACTGCTAGCAAATGTATTTTTTATGCCACGTCCTAAGGCATTTGAACACCAGTTAGTTATTCCTTGGCTGTTGAAATGACTGATGTGCTCTCTCAGCTCTCCAGAGAAGTACTGCAGCATTTTCAGTGGCAGGAAAATGCC